TAAACGCGATACTATCAAGGGATGAAAAAATCCAGTGCTTATCTCGCATTCCTCGAAGATATCTGCCAAATTTTGCATTGGCGTCTAAAGATTTTGATGAGATTATATCATCGGAGTTGCCCGCATTCCGTAAGAGTCATGGTATCCAAGAACCTATAGTTCTTGTTGCTTTGGATGAGAAATGGGTTTCTATGAGTGAAACTGTTAATGGAAACCACAAGCTTGTAGAATTTCCTCCAATGTCCAAAGCAAGAACTAATTGGTTATCCTCTTGTATCGGCGTTGCTTCTTATGTAGTTTCGGTGGGAGGTTCATTGGAGTTAGGCAAGAACGCTGTTATCACAGACTGCACGCAGAAACCGGATCAAGATTTACATGAACAGAAGTATAAGATGGTTCATGATCTATGTCATTCGGCGTTGGGTGTAATGGGGAGCAAAGTCTATGCGTTCGGGTTGTGTAGTAATGGTACATATCGTTGTCAACGGTTCAGTCTAGAATCTGAAGATTGCGAATCCGTAGATGTTGCGTTTGATGAAAATCCACCACTGACCAAGCTCAAAGGTTTGGTGATAAACGAAAAGCTGTATATTTACCGTCTAGGTATGAGCGCTTTAGTGTTTGATCCACTTCAAGGCAAAATCGAAATTGAGAAGTCTCTTGAGGAGCACTTGAGTGAAGATTCATGTGTAATTGGTAACAAGATTTACTCTCTCTCTTCTGTGGATGGATGCATTCATGTGTATGATGGTCATTACTGGAGGAGGCTGTTGAAGAACGTTGAGGTTGGTTACTCTTCACATGTCCAGCTTGTAAACCTAAGAGGAAACCTGCTTATTCTGTACAAAAGTGGAAAAGAAGTTTGGGGGAAAGAGATCAGCATCGAGAATGAAGGAGCAGAAGTATGGTGTGAAATGGTGATGAAGATGGATCGCGCACTCTTCGTGATTGACCACATTGTATCCGTAACCCTCTAAAGAGTGGTTGCTTCTTCCGCAAGCTATAAGGTTTTTGAGGGTAAACAGGGAGAAAATAGTTTTTGTGGGAGTTCCTCGGAGACACCATCATTAGCCATTGGTTTTGATCTTGAAGCGTCCATGGTTTGATGATATTGACACTTGATATTGAGCTACTGTTTAAGACTATTTGATGTTACAAGTTATACAACCGGGTTGGTCCGGTTTACAACCAGATTGTTTGCCAAATTGGTTCGTGTTTTCTTGTTTTTAAACTTTCTGGATACTAAATGTCTCAAATTGTTAATCATCATCTATAAGCATTCTAGCGAACACATTAGAATTGTTATATTGCATTTTAAATAACATAGTCAAACTTAGATTATAGCATTCTAGGCTCCTAATGATCATTTTCAATCGGTTACTAAACAAGCAAAAACCGGGAACAGAACTGGCTCTCCCCTCTCGAGGTTACTCTCATCGGCGGCAGAACCATTGCCTGTTACGACGTGGCTCCTCAGTGTTGGCACTTTGGAATGACATACCAAGAAAAGCAGTTCCACTCCTAACTTCTCACTTGTCTTTATCTTCAATCCATGAATTCACTTTCGGTGTTGTGCCTTTATTATTATGACTTCGGAGACATATATACCACCACTTCTGTTCAAGGTATAAATGACTTACCACGTCTGATATTGGACTTGTGAGGAGCTGTGCTCACTCAGTACAAGCTTCACCAACAACAGGAAAAAATTGGTGCATAAGAATCCAATTTTTGGGCTGCCTCCAACTCTGCACCCTCAGACAACATGCATTTCAAGTACATCTTCAGTATTTTCACACATACTGTAATCAGTTGAGACTCTATACTTAGCTCCAAGGACACTCCTGGATTGTATGTCAGTATGTCTTGAAGAATGTCCAGGTAGTTCTGGTAATGAAGCATGGTAGATTCTGAGAGCTCTAGGATAGAGAATCTCCAGTATAACTGAGACGAGATTGATTAGAGTATCTCCAGTATAACTGAGACATGAGATGCCAACAATGACCGCTGATGGATTCTGTAGAGATCGCTCACTACCTGGAAACATTTCTAGGTGAGTCAAAGCTGAACATCTCATTGCATAGCAGAACATTTTGTACATACCCAAACAACTTGCAGCTTGACGTTTCTGTGACTCTTTGCTCTTGAAACAACATAAGACATGGTTTGCTGGCTGTCCTGTCAACTTCCTGATAAAACAATGTTCCTTCATCTAGAATCTCATTTATAGTTCTCAGCATCTTCATGAAACTAGACAATGTAAAATTGTCAATGAAGCAGCTTATTTTTACAGCAAAAAAATCTACTTCCACTCATCTTCCGAGAACCTGGAACCCAATTCGCCAGCCCTGAGTTGTATTTTCTGTAGTGTGTAAATCATCCCACATATATCAATTTGCAATGCTGGCAAGGACAAAAACTGCACATGTATTTACAGGTAGAGAGGGTGCACCTGTCCATCAGCAGCAGATGTGATTATGCTGCGAGTCGTCAGAGAAAGGCATAAATTTGAACTTGGAATATATTCTTACGAATCGAATGAGAGTTTGACAGTACCAGTCTCCCAATTCCAAAGAATGACTTGCCTGTCATCAGCCAGGATATCTCCAACTACATTGAAGCTTACACAACCCTTATGCTTTTGGAGCTGCTTGTGGAGGCAAAGACGGTTTAATAAACCCTGTTAATACAATGATCAAACCTCAATCAGACACCAAAATGAAATACAAGCAAGTATTGGAAGATTTCTAATTTATCATTTGGAATTGTTATAGAGCTAAGGAAGTATTGGGAACCCATAGCAATCCAGCATCTCCAAATGAAACTAGGATTATCAATTTGTTGGGATTTCGCTCAACTCTACTACCATTGTTCGTAATCTATTGGAAAGGGTAAACACGTAAGAACTAAGCAGTGAAAGTGAAGCGCCGTAGAACCTGATTGAAGCAATGTAGAAAGAAATTCAAAATCAATTAGAATCACTACTCATGTTCGGATCTGGCAAGAAAATTGGAAACCATAACACAAAGGATTGGAAATCGCCGAATCGGAAAAGAAAGGAAAAGTAGAGAAGGAAAAGAGTGAGAGACCTCGGAACAATTGATCAACCTCCCTTTCCCAGTCAGAGATTGACCAGGGAATGCTCGGTTCTCGTCGGCCGTACACTCATCTTCCCAGAGAGATCGATCGAGTCAGTCAAGATTTGTGTGATCGATAAACAAATTGGATCAAAATTTGTTATAACCCTTCAGATTACAAATGAGAAAAACAAAAAATTTCCCTTTCTTTTTATGTCTAAACCGTATGAAAAGACAAAATAACCAAACAAAATTTTATTTATTTACGATCCAACCAGTTAAAATCCGATCCAAAAGTTTATCCATTCCACATAAAGCGGATAAAAACCGCCCACGACCCGAAAACGACTTTTCCTCTTCATAACTCTGCCCATGACCGTTTTGTAAGACAAAATTGAACTCAAATTCACTAAAAAATCAGGACAATTAGGGATAACCAACTGCGAAAATCACTACGAAGATTTCACAAAGAGATCCAATTTCCAGTCTCTTTCGTGCACCAACTGCGAACTAGGAGGTAAGGGTTTAGTTCAAATCCGTTAAATATTTTCAATGTCGTAGAATTGGGTATAAA